TGGCTTTCTGGGACGAGATAGTGTCGAAGTTCGTATTGAAATCATATTTATTCAATTTTTTAAATGTTAAAGAAACTTTGAGCGTAGTTATTACTTATTCACATGCTGCATGCTGTCGTAGCAAAGTGTGGAATGGCGAGATTAGCATGAATCAGTCCCATTTTGTCATGTTCGAGATTTCTAAGTGCATTCGTTGCGGAATTTTTTTTCGCAGACATATTTATCATGACTGTTTTCATTTCATCCACAATTGTCCATGTTCCACTGCATGAGTAGCATTGAAACAGTTTGTATCGGTTTACGAACTACTTGATTTTTCCTCAATGCCGCGATGGCTAGAGCACAGACGATTAGAGAACGGGTGAATGCCCTAGGACTAAGCCTTGGAGAGGAGAGGGACCCGCGAGAGAGCGCAGAGGCGGTTTAAAGGGCTGAGTTCAAGTAGTTCGTCGACCCAGATTATAATCGTTCGACTATTATTCGTAGTGTAACGGTACTGCCACTTTGAATAGAAACTTTTCAAGATTTTAGTGAATTGAGGTACAGGCCAAAGTCGAAAAGACAGTTGTTACCGCTCTATTGCAAACTACCCGCACTGCTGGCACGAACCGCTCCGATTCGTCGTATCGAATTGTAATTGCTTCGATCATGCAGGACAAAGCTCAAGATCCCTTTCAGAAATACTTTTACCAGTTTAAAGAGGGAAAATCATCAGAATTACGGGACCATACATACCATACCCATGCCATTTCAAAGGTCACTGTATTTTGATAGGTTTTGCCTGTTGCTATATATTTTGCGCTGTTTTTTTTTATTTATTTGAAGAAATGAAGCAAATGGTCTCTTATGATGAGGGGTGTAGCTTTTCCTTCCGCCACAGGCTCTACGCTATGTGACTTGACTAAATATTGCGGCAGTTTTTTTGAAGATCAATCGCCTCGTTATTTTATCACAATCTTGTGGTGGCGAGTTGTTGATTGGCATGTTGAGCAGTAGAGAGAAACGCACGGCTTCAGTCAGTTATTAGTAGTTATTTCAGATACTTTTTATATAAATCCAATCGCGGGAACTTTCGAAATGCATCGTTCTCTTGCTCATCTTAACAACGCTGGCAAGGGAGAACATGATGACGAAGGTAGATCTTTCAGTCCAGATGTATGACTGGATTTCCATTTTTCACACAAGCTTAGCAAAATGTGTTTGTTCAGGGGAAATGACGGGTGAGTCAGACAGTGAAGCTGCTGGGACAAGTGCTAAACAGGTAATTTCCCTTTATTTCGAAGGAATTCTGTTCGCGACACCTTTTTGATACCTCCTCTCCCTTTCACAAACCTCTCTACAACCGCGATTGATAACAACATTTACGTTTTGAGCCAAGGTTTTTGCACCTTGATTCCGTATATATTTTGGTGGTAATGACACTGACCATTTACGCGATGATTTTGTTGAAAATAAGAGTAATTGTAAAAATTGAGATACGCGTGAAATTTACGAGACCAGAAACTGAGCGGCAGAAGAAAAGAAGGGAAGCGAGCGCGCTCCATAGAGAAAAATTGATTGCGAGTGATTCATGGATACCATTGGATGTTCATCTGAAAGAGGTTTGGCTAGCAATTCGTGATTTTTGATCTCTTTTCCGTTTCCTTCTATACGGCCTTCGGTCAAGAATCTGCGTTGTAGGCTTTGTGTTAGGATCTTTCCTTTCAGGACCCCTCTGTTATCGAGAAGTTTTCTCAGATGACCACAATTCCGCCTGAGGATTCCGATATGCCAGAAGTTATCACAACCTAGAGATCTCGTAGAACGCGGAATTATTTGCGGAGAAAGAGAACAAATGTCAGTAAAACTTTTTTTCGTTTCGGAATCTACCCAATATTCACCTTTTATTTGATGAAAACCGCCTGTTTTTCTTTCTCAGTGATCTCACTAGAAGCGATCTACTGGTTACTCATCAACGTATTCGAGAAATGCCTATTCATCAGCAAGTGAAAGCCCAGGTTTTCAAATGTGAGTGTCTTCCATCTCGAGAGAAAAGCTCAACCTATAGTGGTGATTTGGCCTTTGAAAATTTTCAAATTTTAATCTAGGACAGCATTATAATTTACGACCTCTGAACTGCGGCTGTGCCACGAAATGTCGGCCCATTTTGTCGTTTTATTTATCGCTGACGACGGTGCTTGTCCTGAGGCTGTCGTATTCGACTTACCTGCTTTTAGTTGTCACAGTTTTCCTTGAGCGTTAGCGAAAGGAAGTGCGGCAGTGTTAGAGCAATCATTTGAGAAGCTAAAGAAGTGAGTGGGTCGAAGAATCTAAAGGGAATGTTGAGCGATTAAAAAGGCTGTCAAGAGGGTAATCGGGCTCGCATCGCGGTGACGGTCATTTGGCGGTTCCTTTAATCACAAATTCATAGGAGTCGCAAACTAGGACCGCTTTGGATTTAGCTAATGTATATATAATGTATTACAATGTATAATGTAATAACGCATTTTACTTATTTTGATGGTTTCAGCACGGGTCGTTGCAACGGCTGACATAGCTAGATTGGTAGATCCCTCCATCAGCCGCGACGAGCTTTTCGAATATCTTCAACAGTCGGCCCATCTTGTTCAAGGTCAGTATCTTTAATCTCCTAAATCTCTTTGCTTCTTTCTTGGATCTGACACACATTTATATGCATTCAGGTGTTTGGGTTTTACAGTCAGAGTTTTTATATCACGATCTCACTGCTGCACATGCCATTACCCCAGGAAAAGTAAGTATATGTTGTTTAGAGTTGCGACTTAGTTACGTCTCGATAAGCTCAATAGAAGCTGATGTTCAATCTCGTAATCCGTGTACAAAGGCTTGATTCCCCTCTTTCAATTGACGTTTATCGTAAATCTTTCATCTACATATATGTAGATTTAGTTAGACGAACATCGCGCTGATATGTGGCGATGCGCCCGAGATCTCGCCTTATGCCTCCTCGATGCAGGACAGAGGGTCACTCGCTCCTTACTCACCAGGTATTTTCGGTCAACTTATAACTGATATTCAACTTTATTTTTCTCGTCAATATTTAATATTTTACCTTGTCACATTCCCTATTCCTTATGGAAAACAAATTCAACAAATGGATTGCGGTATCATTTTCAACATTTCTAAAAACGATCACGCTACGCAATTTAGTCCAGAAACCGAGCTGGTCAGATACAACACCAGGCTCGTACGCTTCAAGAGGGGTGGTCAGAAAAGGCGTTTTAATTCCTCCAAATTTAGCGCTATGATAATCCAACTTCATTAAATCCTGACTGCATATTCCGCCTGCAAATTCAACATCATCCTGTACACGAATACGTAGTTCCATAGTGGCCTTCTGAACGAATGAGGTCGAAAATTTGTGCCACACGAAAGTGAGACTCCCCAGAGCGCGTCTGCGATAGCGAACAGCTCCATATTCTGATGACTATGACGGAACTCGCCAAGCGATTGCTTCTGTTTATCAGGGCAATCTTATTTTACTATTTCACTTAGACACATTCATCTTCTTTTTGCACTACGTAT